ACCCAACAACAATCAACTTCGCAACCTCAGTCACCTCCGACAAATTCAAATCAACCTCAACCGTCTCAGCCAAATTCAAATCAACCTCAACCGTCTCAGCCAAATTCAAATCAACCTCAACCGTCCCAGCCAAATTCAAATCAACCAAATCAATCTCAACCGTCACCGTCTCTGCCAAATCCAAATTCGGGTGATGTGCAACCTACATCTTCTTCTCCTCCTCCTCATGAATCTTCGAATCCTCCCATGCCTTCAATTTCTCAAAAAAAAATTCCTCTTAACACACATTATACATCTACTGCTGATGTTTGTTCAACTAATCCATATTGTAAAACCGAGTACGTTTTAAATTCGACTCTTCATTATATGACAATTAAGATCAAAATTTAAAAAATTACAAAAACTAATTTGCATTTTGTTTAAGTACTAACAAACAAGATAGCGGTAAAACCGAAACTACACAAGAGCCTGATACTATCACGACTATCATGCCGGCCGGTTACGATAGTAGAACAATAACTTCATTCACAAAAAGAACAGTCACAGTAACCGTTACTGTATATGTTCCAGGTTATGTAACTACTGTTACTGAGTACAAGAATGGTGAAACAATATCCTATGAAACTTACTATCCACCAAGTACTAAGATTATCGTGCAAGTTGTTACTTCAGTTGCACCCGCTGGTTTTGAGTTTGTAGAGAGTAAAGCAAGAAGATTAAGTCATTATGGTTTGTTTGATCGGAATAATGATGGTTTAGTTAGTGTAGTTTTAAGTTTATGGGTTGTAATGTGGAGTTTAGTATATTTAATTTTATAAATACTATATAAATTTAATTATCTTACACCTGAATGATTAATCATTGCTATACATTGTTAGTCGGTTATTATCACCAGCATCTTGATCGTGGTTACTAAGTGATGCAGTAGATTATAACCAGGATTGGCATTTTACTATACTTTTTCTATTGACATATACTTTTTTTATTTTTCTGTTGTAAATTTTTTGTATTAAACTTTATTAATTAAATATAAAAATCTTTTAAATTTATTATTTTAACAATGCTCTAACAATATATATTTAAATAATTATAAATTATTAATAAAGATTTTTTTCTATATTGAAGACAAAAAAATTGAGCTTTTGTTCTCTAGTTATTGACTAATCATGGCTAGTACACATTAAATAAAATATTTCTGAACTATATTTCAGGAACTTGTATTTAAAAGTAACTAACGCTAAGTGTTATGACAAACCAGATTATTATATTAAATGCATAAAACAATCTGCACGATCTGTACGAACTCAAAGTCTAATAGTTACTTAAATTTTTCAGATATCTACAACCCGGGCAATCTCATAATTCAAGTACATTTTCAAACTCTAGAAATCTATAAAATTTGAAATTGTCCTTAAGCATTACAAAAAAGATCTTTCTTCTCTAAAAAATCAGTATTAATCTCCAGAAATAATCTAACCATTCGTAATACTCAAGGGCAATTTCGAATTATATAAACATTATAATTAGAAAATGCACCTAAATGCTGAGGTTGTCCAGATATTTCTTCTTT